TAAATAATTATTTAGTACAAATAATTGATGGTTTATTAATTAATTGTCTTGATCGATAAATTTAGAGACTTGGTAACAAGGGAAGAAACAGAAGAAAAAACAAGAACAAAGAAAAGTTTGTAATATGTTGCTATTTTAAAAGTATATGCCAACTCATACTAAAATTGTTTTATAAGCAAGCCCGAAATAATAATGCATTTTTTAAAGGAATTTAATCCTCGAAACGTGAAATCCTGACTTCGGAATTTGGAAATGGATTTTTCTGAATACAATAGTCGTGATGTATTATTCCATTGGACCCATCTAGTAAACCACAAAACGTAGTTTTTATTTACTTTGAGTTTTGGTTTTCATATTTTTAATTTTGATTCATTGAGTATTCATTCTTACATGAATAAATTTAGTGTCTTGAACATTTAAGATGTGTACAAAAACAAAGAAATATTGTATACGTTAAGTTGTATGTTTTGTTCAAGAATGTAAATGACTAGAGGAGAAGATTATAAAAATAAAGCGTGTGGATTTAAACGTGCACGACTCTCGTCACCTTTTCCATTTATTTCTCCTTCTTATTCATTAAGAATTCTCTATAACTTTGTTTTAATCCCAAAAATGTTCTATATTTAGCATCTATGGATGAGATCGATATTGACCAAATAACGTGTATGCTCCAACGTATAGTGTTTTTTGAGTTTGACTTCAAACATTTGCACAACAAGTGTCATACTTGTTAAAATTCAACTCAACATAATTGTTGGGCCACACCACACAATTGTTTTTTGCAAGATGATAGCTCCCACCTAGTCGTAGGTTGATGGTGGCCATGTGCTGTTATCATGATTTGTTAGAAGGAACAAGCCAATCTTGACCAAACTGTACATTGTCTAGTTATGAATTTTAAGTATCTTTAGATCTTTTGGACTATTTATGAAACTAATATTTGAGATTTTGTTAGATAACTATATCTTAGTTTTTGTAATTAGTGAAAATGTTCTTCACCAAGCTCTAGGCATGGTTATGTTTTACCATCTGATAACATTGATATGACATGGTGGAAATGAACTTCTACGTTAAAAATAAATTGTCATTGGCAACCGAATGGATATTTTGTGTTTGAGGGTTCATCATTTTTGCAACATATAAAATTAAACTTTGGCATGTTCTGCGAATCAGGAAAGAGCAAGAATTATGATGAAATGGGCAGACTTAATTGATCAAAACGTGGAGGAAATAGCAGCATTGGAGACCATCGATGGTGGGAAGTTGTACCATTATTGTAAGGCTTTTGAGATTCCTGCAGCAGCAAGTACTCTACGTTACTATGCTGGTGCTGCAGATAAAATTCACGGGGAGGTATTAAAGGCTTCCAGGGAGTTACATGCATATACTTTACTAGAACCAATTGGTGTTGTGGGACACATTATTCCCTGGAACTTCCCTACCACCATGTTTTTGGCCAAGGTTAGCCCTGCCTTGGCTGCAGGTTGCACAATGGTCCTCAAGCCTGCTGAACAAACACCTCTCTCAGCCTTGTTTTATGCTCATCTATCTAAACTGGTATGTGTCTTCTACAAATGGTGTTGACAAAGTTGATTACTAAAGGTTGAGTTATTGATTTTCCTAACTTTTATGTTTTGTAGGCTGGAATCCCTGATGGAGTCCTTAATGTAGTACCTGGATTTGGTCCAACTGCAGGTGCTGCAATAAGCTCACACATGGACATTGATAAGGTGACTACTTAAATGTCAAGAATGTGAACATTATGAGTCTCATGTAATGGAATAGTTTTTTTTATTGGACTCTCATTTTTGCTTAACATATAACAAGTTGAGACTAAAAGGCATGCTTATATGTAGGCCACATTGAAGTGCAGTAAAACTAATTTTTGAGTTTGACTCTCTTTTTTACAAAAGTAATAACAGAGTAACATAATTTAAATGCAGTAAAACTAATATAATTGGCTTGATTGTGTATGTGTAGGTAAGTTTTACGGGATCAACAGAAGTGGGGCGTGAAATAATGCGTGCTGCAGCTAATAGTAATTTGAAACCAGTCTCACTTGAATTAGGAGGCAAGTCACCCCTCATAGTTTTTGATGATGCTGATGTAGATAAAGCTGCTGAGCTTGCTCTCTTGGGCATCTTATTCAATAAGGTGGTTATTCATGAAATCTAATTTCTCTTTACATAGTTTAGTTGAACATATTCTGACTTTTTCTCTTGTCGATTTCAGGGAGAAATTTGTGTTGCAGGTTCCCGTGTGCTTGTTCAAGAAGGAATTTATGATGAATTTGAGAAGAAATTGGTGGAGAAAGCAAAAGCTTGGGTGGTTGGTGATCCTTTTGATCCTAAAGTTCAACAAGGACCTCAGGTTTGAATGTAGCAGCACAGTTATATATCTACATTAGTTCTAGAAGCATCGCATTTGTTTTCTAGTAACTCTAATCATTGAAACAAAAAAATGAGAGTAATTGGCTGATAGTTTTCTTCTTGTAGGTTGACAAGAAGCAATTTGAAAAGATCCTTTCTTATATTGAGCATGGAAAGAGAGAAGGAGCCACCCTTTTGACAGGTGGAAAAAGTGTGGGAAACAAGGGTTACTACATTGAACCTACAATTTTCTCTAATGTTAAGGTCAGTTTTTAGCTCCCCCCAAGTATGAAAGGAGGTTCCTTTAGAATAAATGGATAACTAACCATCACATTGTCTTCTGCATGACATCTTGTATAGGAGGACATGATTATAGTACAGGATGAGATATTTGGTCCTGTGATGGCTTTGATGAAGTTTAAGTAAGTTATTGTAATTTCATTTACCTCCTGCTATAATAGATTCAATGTCTTCCCAGTAATGTCTTTGAATTTGTTGATGAATGCTGATTTGAAAAGTAATACATGAATGAATAACAGGAGTATTGAGGATGCAATCAAGAGTGCCAATAATACTAAATATGGTCTAGCATCAGGCATAGTGACCAAGAGTTTGGACACAGCAAACACTGTGTCAAGGTCCATTCGTGCAGGAATTGTTTGGATCAATTGCTACTTTGCCTTCGGGAATGACATTCCTTATGGAGGGTACAAGATGAGTGGATTTGGAAGAGACTTTGGATTGGAAGCCCTGCACAAGTATCTGCAAGTTAAATCTGTTGTAACTCCCATTTACAATTCTCCTTGGCTTTGAATATCTCCTCTCTGTTTTGAGTTTAAACTACACAACAGATTTAACATATTTACTTCATCAAAGTAATAAATAAAATTGGGTCATGTTAGACTGCATAATATTTAATTCTTTACATAGTTTCTGTGAAAGTTTTTATATTGTTGATGAAAAATTAACATGGCACGTATGATTTTTGTCATGATTATTGTAGAGTAGCTAAATACTCCTCAATTGAAGCTTTAATACTTCAATTAACTAAAATTTACAAAAAAATTTAAAATTTATAAAAAGTCAAAAGAATGAATAGAAAAAAAGAAAAAAGAATAAATATAGTAATTAAAAAAGACATATTATCTAAGTAAAAAAGTAATAAGTATTGAGTTTTTTTTTTTAAAAGAGACAAATTAAGAATAGAAAAATTAAAGAGTAGACATAGATATATTAAGAGGAAGTTATATTTTTAAATAGTATATCGAAAAATTGATAAAGATGGTTAAAAAACAAATCCATTTAAATATGTAAGTTATAAGTAAATATATGTCAATAAAGTGAAACAATTATAAGAAAATAATTCTTTGAAAATTTTAATTTGTAATTTTTATTTTATTTTATTATTTTGGTGATACTTTAACATAAAATGAGGGCAATTAAAGATAACTCTCAAATTATTTGCCCTCAAAGATAACTTTCAAATTATACATCTTATATTCCAAAAAGTACCAAATTGAGAATAAACACTTTCAAGCAAACTCTTTGTAATTTAGATCGTAACTTTAATTGATTTATTATATCAATTTCTATTTTATCTTTTGATAATGAATTAAATTTATGTTTATATTATTTAATTTCCTACAAATTTACTTTTCACCAATTTTGAATGCAATTAAAAAACCTACATGAGTTAATTCATTCCGTAACCGAATTAATTATACTGAACATCAAATTATTTACAATATAAACAATTTCATAAAAAAAAGAATGAATATAAAATATAGTTTATCATGTGATAGAATAATAATAAAAAAAGTTATATAAGGGACCCCGTTTTGAAGTGCTTCCATAATTTCTTCAGCCTGCGTTCTCCATAGAGATGCCATCCATCAAGTACACCAAGCACTTCACCAATGAAAATTTAAGATTAAACATTAGGGTTTAAGGAGTTTGATTTTTTTTTTATTGTTTTATATTAGGTAACAACCACTAAAGTAATTTGCTTTGTTGATTTCTAAGATTAACTAATAACAAAATGTGGATGAGTATCTGAACCAACAACTAAAGTTATCCTTCAAAGATAGATTAATAACAAAAGCTTCATCATCTTATTTTATTTTTTGATCCATGAAAAGACAGGAGGATATATTTTGATATTGAGTAGTGATATAATTTCATTTTTCATGTGTAATTTAAGATCATCAATTTATAATATGTTAATATTAAAACCATAATTAATCAGATTAAAATATGCAAAAATAAAACTTAAATAATAAAAGTATAGAAATTAATATAATATTTGTATAAAAGTATATTTTAATGAATTAGAAGAATACATATTTATATTATTTACTTAGTGTACTTCATTAAAAAAGTATTGAAATGAAAGTAAATAAAAAATTGGGAAAAGTAAAAATATGATTAAAATCTTATACGTTTATATATTTAAACAAACATAAAATTTTATTAAAAAACAAAAACTCTCTTAACACGTGGTGAAATAAATAAATATAGAACAAAAGATTTATGATATAACATAAAACTTTATAAAGAGTGGTTCCTTCTATTTATAATGTGATATCTGAGGTTGCTTTGCCTCATTATTTCAATCTGAGAAGAACAGAAAACATGGCTGGTCTGAACTCAAATAGCCATTCTCCGTCCTCCTTCAAGATGCCCACAATCAAGTTCTCCAAGCTCTTCATCAATGGAAATTTTGTTGATTCTGTTTCAGGTTCATCAAACCCTTTTTCTCTTTCTACTCTTTCCTTTATTGTCCTTACCTTCTTCATGTTCTTTCTTTCTGGGTTGATATGATATAAGGAAAGTGATGAATTAATTTATACATTCATAAAATTTGAGTAAAAAATCGGTAAGAACTTATATACACTCTAAATACACACTGTTCATGTATCTCTATTTTATCCCATCACGCGGAGTCACTGATATAATTGAGTATATTCCTTTATATATATAATTTCATGCAGAAATGAGAGAATTTCAATTTCTAATTTTATTATTTTTAATATCAATTTTAATTAGAGAGATATTATTTATTTTAGGATTTTAATTTGTATATAGTTCTATTTTGTTTTTAAAAAGAGATGAAAATATATATAAATTATTTTTGATAATGAAATATAAAACTCCTGAATATATATATATATATATATAATAAAAATAAATAATTTTAAAATAAAAATATATATTATTAAAATCTTAAATGGTAAAAAAAATAAAAATAAAGAATAAATAAGTTAAAAAAATAAAAAAATATTTGATAGAGTAAAAATAAAATAATAAAAAATTTGTCAAATTAAATTAAATGAATTTGATAAGAAACAATAAGAAAGATAAAAGGATGAATAATGGAAGATAATAATGTAGATGCTACCTTTTTTGAAAAATGGTACTTATCTTCTTTGTATCAAATAAATCACGTTATTTGTTTCCTTCTTGGTCTTCCCCTATCAAATAAAGCAAAACGTTGAACACGACCACTAAAGTTTCTTTTGCTTGTTTTTTTAAGATAAAATAACACATTAAAGACAACCACTAAATCATCTTTTGTTTGATTTTTTAAGATAAATTAGTAGGAACTCTTGAATGTTATCAGTGTCTTACCTTTTTCTTTTTTCAATTTATTTTAAAATAATGGTAAAACAGGACGAGAATTTGAGACAATAGATCCAAGAAATGAACAGGTAATCGCAAGAATTGCGGAAGGAACGAAAGAAGACATCGACAACGCCGTAAAAGCGTCGCGTGTGGCTTTCGACGACGGTCCATGGCCACGCATGCCCGGCGTGGTACGTTACAACTTTTTTCATCACTTTTTTTTTTTTTTTCATTTTCATTATAATAATGCTTAATATTTTTAAACATTTTTAATGTATTGGTATCCTTCACAACCCGATAAATATTTAAGGGAAATATATACTCTAACAAAATGAAATATTTTTACATTAAACACTAAATATATTTATTAGTTCTTTATAAATAATAATAATAATAATAATAATAATAATAATAATAATAAGATGGACCGATAAAAAGTTATAAATTAAGATAAGAGACACATCAAAACATGATTACTAAAAGCAACATCAAAATATTGTTTAGATAAAAAAAAGTCTCAATATAATTATGTTATCCGAAAAAAATATCTCTTAAAAGATCACGACATTGAATATTAAAAATTCACAAATAAAATTTGAAGAATATATTATTAGCTTCAATTAAAATTTTTAAAACATTAGATTTTTTTATAATTTATTTTTATTTTTATCTTACGTGAAATTTGAACTTACTCGCATGATTTTAAGAGAGAAATTTGAAATCTTTCTTAAAATCAACCAAAAATCTATCCTTGATGAGATCGAAAGATTGGATAACACAAATTAGACGAAGAATGAGTAAGAAGTTTTTTTTTATTCTTGGCCCATCTAAAACTTTTTCACTTTTGCTTAAAGAGTCTATTGAAAACATTAAATGTAGGGCAATAATTTTATAAAGCGTTATTTAAAGTTCACATCTTTGATTTCCTTATTGAAAACATTCTTATTATGCGCACATAAATCATGTAACTTTTTAAGTGAGTATACGGTTTTAATCAGTCATATATGATAGCTTCAATTTTCCTTACCTCCTGAAAGGTGTAAAATTTGAAAGATACAATTGAAGGGTGTGTGTGTTTGCATACTTGTAAGCAAATGTATGTTGCATGCTTGTTCTAAATTTCCAATTCTTACTGAAAAGGGAGCTCTGCTCTACATTACTTTTTCCATTTTCTTTTATATCACTATTCAATTTTCATTGTCTCAATAAGCTTGATATGATGGCTAACCAGGAAAGAGCAAGAATTATGATGAAATGGGCAGACCTAATTGATGAAAACAGAGAAGAACTAGCAGCATTGGATGCCATTGATGCTGGAAAATTATATCATATGCTTAAAGCTTTTGAGATTCCTGCAGCAGCAAATACTCTACGTTATTATGCAGGTGCTGCTGATAAAATTCATGGAGAGGTATTAAAACCAGCACGGGAGTTACATGCATATACTTTACTGGAACCAATTGGTGTTGTGGGACACATCATTCCCTGGAATTTCCCCAGCCCCATTTTTTTCACAAAGGTTAGCCCTGCCTTGGCTGCTGGTTGCACTATGGTCCTTAAGCCTGCTGAACAAACCCCTCTCTCAGCATTGTTTTATGCTCATCTGGCTAAACTGGTATGTATTCAACAATGATGACTGTCAACAAAAGCACTTTCTAATGCACTCCTTCAAATGTTTCTTGTTGGTTAAAATGTAGGGTTTGACTTTCTCTTACAAAATTAAGATAAAATGGAACTATACTATCAATTGATTAAAAGTTTTTGTTATTTATAAAAACCATTTTTTTTTTTTTGTGAATACTGAAGTATTTTAAAAATGTTAGAGAAAGTCGACTAGTATCTTTTTTATAAAACAAATGATTGATTTCCCTATAAACATAATTGACATTTACAAGTTAATTGCTGGGGTTAAATTGATTGGTTTTCCTTGCTTCTTTGTCTTCAAGGCTGGAATTCCAGATGGGGTGCTCAACGTAGTTCCTGGATTAGGCCCAATTGCAGGTGCTGCCATATGTTCACACATGGACATTGATAAGGTAGCTAAATGTCAAGCATTTGAAAGTACCATGATTTAAATAAAGTAAAATAAAATTGGCTTGATGGTGATTTGCGCTTGTGTAGGTCAGTTTTACAGGTTCAACAGAAGTGGGACGTGAAATAATGCATGCTGCAGCCAATAGTAATTTGAAACCAGTTTCACTTGAATTAGGAGGCAAGTCACCTCTCATAATTTTTGATGATGCAGATCTAGATAAAGCTGTCGAGCTTGCTTTCCTGGGTGTAATGCACAATAAGGTGAATCTTCTGTTAAGAAATCATTTATCCTTTTTATATAACAACCATTTTTGTACATCTTAGTGACAACTATTTATTGTTGTTGTTTTGATTTTCAGGGAGAAATTTGTGTTGCAGGTTCTCGTGTATTTGTTCAGGAAGGAATTTATGATGAGTTTGAGAAGAGGTTAGTGGAGAAGGCAAACACTTGGGTTGTTGGAGATCCTTTTGATTCCAAAGTTCAACAAGGGCCTCAGGCATGTAGTAATGTTGTAGCACAAACTCATTATGTTTGCTCAGTTCTAAAACTTATCTTGGTTTTTATTTCAGCCACTGTCTTGTTTGCTTGCATAAACAGATAAATGACTTGAATGAAAGAAGTATTCACTAATGAGAAGAATCCTTTTCTATTGTCTTACAACATCTATTGTAGGTTGATAAAAAGCAATTTGAAAAAATTATGTCCTACATAGAGCATGGAAAAAGAGAGGGGGCCACTCTCATCACCGGGGGCAAAAGAGTGGGTAACCAGGGCTACTACATTGAGCCAACAATTTTTACTAACGTTAAGGTGAATACTAACTCCATTCAAATTTTCAATCAATTCAAATCTGCATAAACAAAATATAATAAGTAAAACTGTAGTGAACTTTACAGAAAAATCAAGAAAAAGTTCATGAATTTCTAGTTATGTACAAAAGTATCAAGTAGAGTTTTATTAAAGCAAATACTGCATAACTAAACATCACATTGTATTTTAATTTTGTATTCTTAATAACGTATACAGGAGAACATGGCTATAGAGCAAGATGAAATATTTGGCCCCGTGATGGCATTAATGAAGTTTAAGTAAGTTGAAAAACATGTACTATTTCTTGTAGTCTTGGTGGTATTAAAAGAATATGGGCATTTATTGATGAATACTAAACCTAAGAACGATGTATGAGCAGAACCATTGAGGATGCGATTAAAAGTGCTAACAATACAAGATATGGCTTAGCAGCAGGCATTATAACCAAGAGTTTAGATACAGCAAACACAGTGTCAAGGTCAATTCGTGCAGGCATTGTTTGGATAAACTGTTACTTTGCCTTCGGGGGTGACATTCCCTATGGTGGATACAAGATGAGTGGATTCGGAAGAGATTGTGGATTAGAAGCACTTCACAAATATCTACAAGTTAAATCTATTGTAACACCCATTTATAATTCTCCTTGGCTTTGAATTATATATTGTGTCAAGTGTTAAAAGTGTGTGTACTACATATTCAAATAAGTTGTGAAACTCAGGACATTTTCTATTGATACAACCAATTTTACTTGTATTATGCACTGTATTAAACGTTACGTTTTTTCTTATTCTGAATGGAAGATATTTTTAAAATAAATTTGAACATTTTAGGGGATTTTTTAACTATGTATATTATGTTGATTAGCTTTACATAATTACCATAAATTTGAAATAATAAATATTTATGCCAATTGTCCGGGATAATCACACATAACTTGTCAAGCTTAACAGGGTGTAGGAGCTATTAAAGATCATCATCCATCATCAAGTTTCTCAGAACAAAAATTTATCCAAAGTAAAACCATTGAATAACTAATAATAAATTAATTACAATATTTCATTTGATGGGCAAAGCAGTTCACAGATTGATATCACAGAATGTTTACATTTCATTACTGTTATCTCTATTCTTCTACCAAAGTTTTTTTTTCTCCTAAATCTTAAACCCTCGAAATTCCAAATCACACATATATTCAAAGAAACGCAGAAACAAATACTGCATTTGAAGATGACGACGACGGATCAATAACACAGACAGCTAAAACTCACTTTCCGATTTTGCCCCTGAGCTTGACACCGAGAACCCTCTCCATCTTGGCCAGCACGGCCTGGTTAGGCACTGCTTTGCCATTCTCGTACTCCTGCACCACCTGCGTCCGCTCGTTGATCTGCTTCGCCAGCTCCGCCTGGCTCATCTTCTTCTCCACGCGCGCCTTCTGGATTGCGTGACGCACCTCCCCCGCCACGCGCTCCAGCGCCGCCGGCTCCGTCCCCTCCTCCAGTTTCCTCGCGTTCACAACCGGACCACCGACCTTCCGATTGGAACCGGCGTCGAACTTCTTGACCGTGAGCACCTCGGCGCCGGAGCGGAGTGCCTGGTTCACGGCCTTAGGGTTGCGTAGGTCTTGCGCCTTGGGCCTGGCCTTGTGCAGAACGACAGCTTCCCAGTCTTGAGTTATGACTCCCGTTGATCGAGTTGGCATGGGACCTGCGATATTGATTACTACTTACTTGGTTGAAGATATGAAGGGCGTGCTATGAAAACAGGATACAGTAATGGTGGATTTTATAAGGGTGGTGAAGTGAGTATCTGGAATGTTCCATTTGCGTTTGTATGTCTGTCACGAGAGCCTGCAACTGGAATTCGATTCTTCCGCATTTATCCCGAAAGTTCTATGGATAATACAAGACAAAAAAAAAAAAAAACCCGCTTGCTTTCTTGCATTTAGACATGGTAAATGATATTGTAAGAACGAATGCAGTAAAATAATATGGTATTTTTTTTTTGTTAGAATACAAAAAAAAAACAATTTTCTCAGTAATTTAAAATATGCTTTTAAAATAATTTTTTTATAACAGTGAATACTTTTGAATACATCAATATCTGATAATAAAAAGCGTGGCTAAATATTTTAACATATACTTATTTTTTTATTTTATGATTGAAAATTTAACTTGAAAATAAAAATGATAGACTAGAAAATATGATAAAAACTTGTAAAATTTTTCTCATTTTAAAAACAATTATTATAAAACTGAACATATATTTTTAAATTGCTACCACAAAGTTAAGTGTTCATTCGCATGCTTTAGATAAACCTTTTTCTTTTAATCTAAAATGTAACTAAATATTTCCCCCAAAAAAACCAACAAAGAAGCGCGCATGTATAAAAGTTCTGGAAGGTATAAAAGCCTCTTCAACTGATTGTACTCTGGACTTCTCAAAGGGTTAAGCGCTCAAGAGAATTTTGGCGCCAAAAATTTCCACATTATGCATAGATATTTTCAGCGTATTTCCGGCGATCGGCCTCCAACTGCTCCCACGGTTCAGCAACCCAACCGCCGTGACATTGCTGCTGAAGATGTCAGAGGAACCGATACGCCGCCTGAGAAGGTACCGCGTCGAGTTTTGCCGGCGAATTTCGCGCCAACAGACAACTCCGGTTCCTCTCTGTTTGAGAACATCATGCATAAATTCGTCAAGGTCGACAATAACGAAAGGGTTATTAAGCGGTGTGTTTCGATCTTTTCCTTACCCTAGTAGTTTGCTAAGGGTTTTATGGAAGTGCGAGAATTTGTTAGATTTTGATGTTTCATGTCTATTGCTTTGGTATTCATTTGCGTCAAAGGTGAAGCACTGTGCATTTTGTTTCAGTAGTTTATTAGGTAATCATGTTGGTGAAATGTTGTTGAACTATTCAAGTGAAATAGATAGGACATTGTAGATTGATTCGTAGCACTATCAGGCATTTTTTAGGTACTCAAAAAGAATTTCAGTTTCTTAGCAAGTCAGAGAGCACTGAAAGGGATGAAACAGTTGTAATTGAAGTTGAAACTGCAGAAAGGAAAGTGCTGTTTATTGGATGCTACGAATGTTTAAATTAACAATCTCGGTTTCAGTTTCATCGTGGTCGTTTATGTTATTGCAAATTGAAGACAAATGTGTTCCTTTATGTTATTGCAAATTGAACACAAATGTGTTGGCACTTGTGGTGGCTCAATGTTCTTTGATGTTGCGACAAAAATCACGGACACATACTATAATCTGTTCATGAGTATCATACACGATTTTTTTTTTTTTTGCAGGAGCCACTCATTGAATGGTAGTTTGCCTACTGATGCTGATCGTAAAGGGGTGCACAAGGAAGAAACAGCTTTTCAACCTTTGGTGAAAGCAAAAGATAATGCTGTGAATTTCAAGGAAAAACCTAATCAGGGAAACATGGCACTGGTTGAAACCGATGATGATGTTGCTGGACCAGAAACCCCAGGGATGAAGCCTCTTGCTTCTCAGGTGAAGCGTAGTCATGAGGACACATCCAAGTTTGGTTGCTTGCTGAATTCTAAACGAGTCAGATTTCTTGATCATTCAATGACATTGGACATGACTAAGAAGGAAGTAGAAGTGGCTAGCAAGTTTGAATGGCTTGATCCTTCTCGAATCAGGGATGCTAATGGAAGAAGGCCGAATAATCCTTTGTATGACAGGACGACGCTATATATTCCTCCAGAAGTTTTGACAAAATTGTCAGCATCACAGAAACAGTATTGGAGTGTCAAATGTAAATATATGGATGTTGTGTTATTTTTTAAAGTGGTTAGTTAATTAATCTCCTTGAATATTGGTTTCTTAATTCCTCTGGATCCTTTAGTTTATTTGGTATTTTATGCATAACCTTTGGTTAATAATAGTATGCCACAATTAATGATCATTGTAGGGAAAATTTTATGAGCTTTATGAAATGGATGCTGACATTGGCCATAAGGAGCTTGATTGGAAGATAACTTTAAGTGGTGTTGGAAAATGTCGACAGGTGATTTCAAATTTATATTTTTGTTGGTTCTTTACCTGTTTTTCTGTTAGTTTATGTCTTCAGTGACTGGTTTTACTTGTTGGTTCAGGTCGGTATATCTGAAAGTGGGATTGATGATGCTGTTCAAAAGCTGGTTGCACGTGGGTAAGGAAGGCATGGATTTGATGGAATAGTTGATAGTGACACCATATTTATTATTTATTCATTGTTGATTTTGACATTTTGTGCACCATATAGATCATTGTAGCTAATTCTGGTTAGAATGAACTGTGTTAAATCTCTAATAAATTTACTTGTCGATTTCCTAACCTGTTGGCAAGTTAGAATGGTGCTTTCATTGTGAAGGTATAAGGTTGGACGAGTGGAGCAATTAGAGACATCTGAAGCAGCAAAAGCTAGAGGAGCCAACTCTGTAAGTTTTCCCATCCTAGCAGTTGTATTGGCTACCTAGCTTCAGAAGTTTTATGCAACGTTTTCAATATTTGGCATTGCTTGATGAGTTATGGTTCAACAAGCATTATCTTTATACACACATACAAACTCTCATTCTGTAGCTTACTGTAACTACCCGGGGGCTTTGTCCAACTTTCTATTTCTTTAGTTAATATTCTGAATCTCGTGTTATAGTTTTATTTTATCCAATATGATGCTAGGAACTATTGTGAAGTTTCTAATTGATATTGGGGACAATAAACTGGACAGAACTCACTACTGTCACCTGAAAATGTTTCTTTTTTTGTTGATTAAATTATTATAAGACTTCAGAAGTCTTTGTATAATATCCTATCCAGTATCTTTTTCTTTTGAATTGGCTGCTTTTTTGCATGGTATGACCATCACTGCTTGGTTGCAGGTTGTTCGGAGAAAACTAGTTCAGGTGGTCACTCCATCAACCAATGTGGATGGTAATATTGGTCCAGATGCTGTTCACCTTCTTTCAATAAAAGAGGTTCTTTCTTTTCACTGTTAGTAATTTTTTTCATGCTATTAAAGTTTTGTTTGATAGTAATTAAATGTTTTCTACAGGAAAACAATGACTTAGATAATGGTTCAGTAGTGTATGGATTTGCTTTTGTTGATTGTGCTCGGCTTAGGTTTTGGGTTGGCTCCATAGAGGATGATGCATCCTGTTCTGCTTTGGGAGCTTTATTGATGCAAGTATGCTCAAAATACCCTTTCTTTTGCGTATTCCTGATTTTCTATTTAGTTTGTGTGAATGATCATTCCATTTTTCCAAATTGTTAGCTAAGTTGATTCTGGGAATTGAATTGTAGGTGTCACCGAAAGAAGTTATGTATGACAGCAGAGGTGAACGCCATGAACTATCGCTTTGCCGTTAAATTGAACCAAAATGCTGACACGTTTTTTTTTTCTCACAAAATTAATGGGTGAATTTTATGTAAATTCATTTGAATAACTTGAGCTGCTCTGCCCCTGCCCACTTTTTGTTTAATGGGGTCTCACATAAAAATCACCCAATTATAAAAAAAAAAAATGTGTCGGGAAGATTGTACTAAGGAGTGCTGGCGGCATTCCTCTTGACTTGAATACACTTCAGTTCTAACGGTTATATCTTCATGTTAAAATATGATGTTTTTACAGGGTTGTCCAAAGAAGCTCAGAAAGCACTTAGAAAATTCTCATTAATTGGTGAGATGTGATCCTTCATTGTGGTTTAGAAATTCTTAGGTAGTTCTAGATCACCACTTGTCCATGGTTCTGACCATGATACGATACTAAATAATATCATTAATTGTTATTTTAAATTTGGGAACTTGTATACGGGTCACTTAAAGATTAGTTAGAACCATAGAATAGGCGGTAGTCCAGGGACCAGGAGTACCTAAGAATTTCTTGTGGCTTAGGGGTACACTATTGAAAACATTCTAGAATTTTAAATGGGATTCTGTGCCATTTTATTTATTATGTTTTGCCTTTGAAACTGTATGTAAAGTGAAATGTTAGCAATACACTTTCTCAGACATTCTTTTGAACACATTATACTATTGGTTAAAATTTATTGGAAATCACAATTTTTTGTCACTCAGTTCCTTCTTTATGAAACTTTTTGCTATTGTAGTTTTCAATAAATTTTAACTAACAGTTGAGTATGTATAAGAATGAGTGTGTTATTAGAACAACTTGTATGTGAAATACGACACTAGCTGGAAAATAATTGTTTTGCACAGTTTGTATAATAATTTAAAGCAAATATCTAGTGGTGGTCAATTATTGTGACCTAAGTTATACCTTGGTGAATCTAGTTTTGCTGACTTGAGATAACCGTTGTTTTAATATTTACAGTATCAGGCTTACTTTACATATGATTATAATATTGTATCCTTATATATATATTTATATGGAGCAAAATGGTTCCGTATGTAAATGAGGTTACCTATTCTATTTTGAAAGTAAGTTCGTACCGATACTACCTACTGCAAACGGTTTTCATTAAGTTTCATATAATGTTTTATATGCTAAATTTCTCATAATTTGTTTGAGTGAACAAAACGATTATGTCCTTAATATACACAATATCCTGTGTATTCATAACAATGTGAATAATTTGAGATCTGTTGCATGAGGAATAATTTGGAGTTTACAAATTTTTGCACTTTGTTGCAGTTAGATATTTTAGCATAACATCAACTTTTTAAAGCATTAAGTTTTTAAATTATATTTTTAACTGTTCTTAGTTGAATTTATTTATTTTAAATTTTGAAAAGCACCCTGGAATCTTATGATTGATTTCTGTTTCTCTTGCAGGTTCGGCAACACTACAGTTCACTCCAGTTCAGTCAATCACTGACAAGGTGAACTCTGAAATTAGGGATTTAATTGACTCAAAGGGATACTTCAAAGGATCATCTCATTCACTGGATCTTGTACTGAACAATGTGATTCATCCTGAAATCACCTTGTCTGCTCTGGGTGGATTGATTGGTCTTCTGGATAGATTGATGGTACACTTTTATACATACAGAGCGCCATTCTTGAGAGGTTTATCACTAAATGTATATGCATGCTTGTTGTTTAAGATAATTAATTTGTTCCACTTTTCTTACAGTTAGATGATGTCCTACTTAGTGGGGATTTGTATCCATACCAAGTTTACAAGGGTTGCCTGAAAATGGATGGTCCAACAATGATAAATCTAGAACTTTTTGTTAATAATGAGGATGGTAGCAAATCAGGCTAGTACTTGTCCTATTTGAGCACTCTCAAGTTTCCAATATACTTGCAATGGGATTTTCTATGTGAATCATGACATCTATTCTGCTTTGATTTTAGGTTCATTGTACAATTGTCTTGACAAGTGTGTAACATCATCTGGAAAGCGGCTTCTTAGGAACTGGCTCTGCTGTCCATTGATAGATGCTGAAATAATTAACAACAGGCTTGATGTAGTGGATGATCTAATGGCTAACCCGGAGATTGTGTCGCATATTGCTCAACATCTTCGCAAGCTTCCAGACTTGGAACATTTGCTTGGTCGAATTAAGTCCAGCCTTCAATTATCAGGCCCTCTCTTATTGCCCTTGTTGGGAAAGAAAATATTGAAGCAGAGGGTGAGTTTCTGCTTGTGTTTATGCCAATTTTGTAAAGGTTATACTTAGTATTTGTTTGTGTGATTTCTTATCAGTTATTCTTCACTTATTTTGGAGCTAAACACCCATTTTAATGTGAAAAAAAAAGGACTTCCTGGCCAAATCTCATTTCAATATCATAGTGTCCCTTGCGTGTAACTTGGTCACTTTTCATGCCATGGAGAATGGAGATGGGAGACTGCTTTGGTTAGAAGGAAAGACATGTGGCTAATGCATAAACAGTGAAATTGGATTCGAATTTTTTTTTATCTATGCTATATATAGGGAAAAATCTGATCGTATTGTTTTTTGTCCAAGCTGGATAACGTATATATATACAAGTCTGGGATATTTGGACTAATAACTTAAGGTTACATTATGATTTTTGATTCACTAATTTTCCTACTGTTATGTGCACATAATTTTTAATGTAATACAGGTGAAAGTGTTTGGATCACTTGTGAATGGCGTTCGGACTGCTTTGAGTTTGTTGCTTCTTTTAATGAAAGAGCAACATCTAATATCATCTTTGACCAAAGTTTTTAAACTTCCAATTCTGACTGGTAGTGAGGGGCTTGATCAATTTCTTATTCAGTTTGAAGCAGCTGTGCGTAGTGACTTCCCAAATTACCAGGTATACTTTATTGGGTTTTCAAATAATATGAACTGAAACTTCCTCCACATAGTCTTCATGGGCCAGGAACTGTGCCTGGCAGTTTATTTTATTTAAAATGTTGATTTGGAATATTGATTTGTTAAAAACTGGGTATGCTGTTATTTTTCTTGGAATATAAAATATAAATCAAATGCTGCTGCTGGCAGTTGCTGTTATTTGGAAATTTAAATAAGTTCCTAACAATTTATTTAACAGTGTTACATTGAAATGGGTTAATATTGACTGAGAAGTTTTTCTTAGTAACCTGTCACTACTACTTATGGTTATGGATATGTTTCTAGTTTGAAAATATTGGATATATGATTGAAATGGAGGTACCTTACTGTATACCAAGTAGGAAATTGTGATTTTGCGCCTTGAAACTTTGGGGCCATAGGCCAAAATGTCGAGGTAGCTAAAAATGATAAAGGATTGTGAATTTATGCGTGGAGGCACAGAGACTTGAATTTGTGGCTTAAGCATTTGGGTTTGCCTGGCTTGATTCGGGTCATAGGCTAATTTCATGCCAAACGGAAATTTTACTAAATCCTTATAATTAACCCATATTTTTTCAGGTTACGCGGACTAGTTTATTACGTTTGAATTGTTTGATTCATTTGACACCTTGTGTTATAACCCTTTTAGCAAGTGTAATATATTATACCCAAGACCTTGCTAAAGAAATTCTTTACAGTCATTATAATTATTTAATCCACTTCTGCTTATTTTTAGTTAAGATAAAAAAAGTTAGCAGCACCATTGATTCTTACTGCATTGCCTTTTAAATAGCATTTTAGCAGTTTGATGTATGGCAAATGCTGATTTGCAGTTTCATTAATTATGGTCACGTTTGTGAACATGGTTTGGTGTTATCTTCAAGTATACGTATATCTAATGGTATGGTTTTGCTAGAATCATGACGTTACAGATTCGGATGCTGAAACACTCACAATACTTGCTGAATTATTTTTGGAGAAAGCTGCTCAGTGGTTTGATGTTGTTCATGCCATCAATTGCATTGATGTATTACGATCTTTTGCTGTTACTTCTAGCTTTTCTTGTGGAACTATGTCTAGGCCGGTCATAGTGACATCAAAAGGTACAAGTGTCGACAATGGTGGAACTGTGCTTAAGATGAAGGGACTATGGCATCCATTTGCCCTGGGAGACAGTGGATGTTTGCCTGTCCCAAACGACATAATACTTGGTGAGAGTGAAGATGGGTCTCATCCACGCACTTTGCTGCTAACTGGACCAAACATGGGAGGAAAGTCAACACTTCTGCGTTCCACCTGTCTAGCTGTTATTATGGCCCAGGTTTTCCGTCTTACCCCTTTTCCTGTTTGATTAAGCTAGAAAGTAATTACTTCTAAATTAACCACTTTGATCTCACTGGCTGGCTAAGTATTTAAACGAACAAAAACTACTGAACATCCTTTTCCTCCGGATACGGATGGTCATTTTATTTAAACAGACATTTGAAGGTGCTGATGCTTGTTACTCTAAAACCTTGAGAATAGTGCATGTATTTTAATATGGTTTGCTGTCAGATTGTTCTGACGGCTCTTTTATAATATGTATGATGTTTTTGCAGCTAGGCTGTTATGTGCCATGTGAAAGTTGTGTTCTCTCAGTTGTGGATATCATCTTCACACGACTAGGAGCCAAAGATAGAATCATGACAGGCGAGAGTAAGGATTCTAACAAAAGCTGACGTGCATTTTGGTTTTTTGACATGCTTGTGCATCAGAGATTTTGCATACTTAAACACATTGATAGGTCCATTGACATTAATAGGGTTTTTTCAGAACTTGTAAAATGTAGTACTGTGATCTCAAAATGTTCATTTGTACAGAGACAATTTAGCTTACTTTATTGATTGCCAATACCGACAAACTTCGTATTTTTTAGGTACCTTCTTTATTGAGTGCACAGAAACTGCATCGGTGCTTCAGAATGCTACCCAAGATTCTCTTGTTATCCTTGATGAATTGGGTCGGGGAACAAGCACTTTTGATGGCTATGCCATTGCATATGCTGTGAGACTCTACACTTCACTATTCCTTTTTTTTCTTGGATGGAACTTTTGGATCCGTTTTTAAGTACCGTATTCCTATACTTTACCGACTGGGCATACTCAAGTTGAACACTATGTTTCGTAGTAAAGAAAGAGAATGACCTTACAACGTATGATTGTTTTAAGGTTCTTCTGTTATCCTGTAACTTTTGCTCCAAGCGTTGATAAAACCTATAGGTTGCCATTTTAGTAATTTATGACTTTGATAATGTTTCAGTATTCTTGTCTATTTGAACAATTGTGGATGTGCATAGGTATTCCGGCATTTGATTGAGAAGGTTAACTGCCGCATGCTATTTGCGACACACTACCATCCGCTCACGAAAGAGTTTGCCTCTCATCCACGCGTTACAATGCAACACATGGCTTGTGCTTTCAAGTCAAAATCTGATACTTATTCCACGCGTGATCGAGAACTAGTTTTCCTATATCGGCTTGCCTCCGGAGCATGTCCAGAGAGCTATGGTTTGCAGGTTGCCCTCATGGCTGGAATCCCAGAAAAAACGGTAGACATTGCTTCTATAGCTAGCCAACAGATGAAAAAATCAATTGGACAAAGTTTTAGGTCAAGCGAACAGAGATCCGAATTCTCAACCCTTCATGAAGAATGGTTGAAGACCTTGGTGTCTATCTCACGACTAGAGGATTGTAACTGGTTGGACGAAGATGTGTTGGATACATTAGTATGTGTGTGGTATGAACTTAAAACTTCATTTATATCAGGCAAGTAGGGATGAGATATGGGGCGCGATTGGTAGGGTCAGTAATCAGACATGTAAAATTATTCTCATTTTGGAAAATAGAAGGCTTCTTTATTTTCTTTGCGTAGGATGTATTATGTTTTGACAACCGCAAACAAAACGTAAAAACTTTCATTTATTTATATATTATTTATATTATTATTATTATTTATAATTGTTGAATAGATGTTTAGGATGTAAGAATATCATTTCTCATTTATTATTTTGAATGATCTTTTTACTTTCTTTCAAGGGTTATGAAACGTGATGAAGATTGACCTAGAAAGAGGGAGAAAATGGAGAAATAAAAATACATGCAATAGTAATGAAAAGATTGAATGAATGGAAAATAATAAAAGATTGAATGAATGTCAATTAGGCAGTCTGAAAATTAATAGAAAAATGATAGTTACAATCTAATTTCATACAACTTTACAAAATAATTCGTTTTTAATATTATAATAATAATTTTAATTTATTTTTATTTTTATTAAATTTATTATTATTATTATTATTATTATTATTATATTAATAAAAAGAGGTTATAGGATGAGTTGTTTGGATCAAATTAATAATACTCTAACCAGGTTAAACTATTTGTACGGGTAGCATAGAAAAGACAATTGAAACTTCGATAAACTATAAACAACATTGCTCCAAAACAAAATGCTACATCTCCTCCTCAAATATTAATTTGTAACCATAGAAAAATTCCACCAAGATAATACAACAAAAACAAATTAGTTATACCACTTCTTTACCAAACTATTCGGCAATGTTTTTTCCCATCATTCCTTGTGTCCTCACACAAACACGAAACTCTCCCAAACTCCCTCTCATTTCCTTTTACTCGGTCTTCTCCACTCACACTACAACCTATGCACAAAATCTAAGCCCAAACAAAACACAAAAAGCAAGTGAATTTCATTAGCACTATGCAGAAACAGATTAAAATTAAAGTACGTCCTTATCATGCAAGGTTAATTAGTTAACCTTCTTCGAACTACACTTTTGCACGGGGTTCATGCATGCAATGGAGAACGTAGAAGATTTCATGCGCAACGATAGAAACAAGAAGGGCACAACCAGATCGAAGAGAAGACAAATGGGACTCTCGTGCATGCTAAACACTGAAGTTGGTGCAGTTATAGCAGTGGTTCGTCGTCCAGAATGCAATCCTCTCTACAGCTTAACTGCCTCGGAAGATACCTACGACTCTTCCCTCATCAGTTCCTTAAGATCCCTTCGCTCTCTCATATTCAACCCTCAGCAAGAGTGGCGCTCCATCGACCCTTCCATCTACCTTGCCCCCTTCCTTGATGTTGTTCAAAGCGACGACGTTCCAGCAGCGGCCACCGGCGTTGCGCTCTCGGCGGTTCTTAAGATTCTCAAGTTCGAAGTGTTCGATGAGAAGTCTCCGGGTGCGAGAGAGGGTATTGAGTCTGTCGTGTCCGGTATCACCAGCTGCAGGCTAGAGAAGACCGACCCGGCTTCGGAGGATGCGGTGATGATGAAGATATTGCAGGTTTTGACGGGGATAATGCACCACAGGGCTTCAACTTTACTCTCGGATCAATCTGTTTGCACCCTCATCAACACCTGCTTTCAGGTGGATTAAGATAAAGATACTCTCGTGTTGGTTTTTCTCATTTATTACAAAAGGGTAAATGGTTGAAGAAACCTAACTAATTAGTTCATGACCAACAAGTTCCATCGCAATTAATTGATGGATGATTGGATTCTTAATCATGTGGTAGATGCAAAAGTTATTTTGGTGATTTAAAAAACAGTCTGCAAACATGATTTTGAATGCAATGTCAAGTTTATTGGAGTTTTCCTGCTAAAATGCAATTATTGGTGCATTGGATAAATTTGTTCATGATTTTCCACAATATCAAGGAACACAATGAAACTGTGGCCGTGACCGAAATTTTAAAATTTGGTTACCAGGTTTTGATTATGGTAGTAGTTGTGACTGCAATCCTAGTTGTTTGTAGTCACAAAAATGCCAAAAAGCATTACAAGTAGCTAAATTGCAGTTATATATAAACCAATTCTTAAAACCTTAATTATTCCTGTAGTATCAAAGACAAAGACAAAGACAAATACAATAAAAAAAAAAATTGTAATGAGCTCCCTTTATTTATGTGGCCTTTTGTTTCCTGTATTTTTCTTTCATAATTGACATTCTGGTGCTACTTTCTAACGTAAGAGGATTTAAATCCTGCTTTCAGGTTGTTCAACAATCCGCGACTAGAGGAGATTTGTTGCAGAGGAGTGCGAGGTACACCATGCATGAGCTTGTCCAGGACGTGTTTAAAAGGTTACCAGAGATTGAGGCTAAGGACAGAGAAAGCGACTCAGAATCTGACATGGATGATGATGATGATGACGACGACGACGAGGGTGGTGGTTTGGAATATGGCTACGGTGTTCGTTGTGCCATTGACATATTTCACTTCTTGTGCTCCTTGTTGAATGTGGTGTCCATAGTTGAGGCAGATGGGTCTACTTCTCATACTGCTGATGAAGATGTTCAGATTTTTGCCTTGGTTTTGATAAACTCAGCGATAGAACTGAGTGGGGATGAGATAGGAAAGCACCCAAAGCTCTTGAGGATGATCCAAGATGACTTGTTTCACCATTTGATATACTATGGGACATGGTCTAGCTCCTTTGTGCTGTCCATGATTTGCAGCACTGTGTTGAATGCCTTTCACTTTCTCCGCAGGTCAGAGATGTTTCAAGGAAATAAATAACAAAAGCTTCAAGAGAGTTTGATTTTATTTATCATCAATTTGCCCATCTTTTGCATTAGATGCCTTGGTTACATGGTTTGTGTACATTCATCTTTTGACCTAACCAACATTCTAAATTTTCAATTCACAAAAAAAGATACAAGAAAGATCGGTTAAATATGACATGGATATTAGTTGTCTGTTGTAAAGTGATTACTACTAGAGCATTTGTTGTCTGATATGATAGTATGATTCAATGACGGCATAAACTTTTTTACATTGATTACTACATTTTAATGATATACGTTATTGATATTGGTTGAGAGAGAGGCATTGAAAAGAGTTTCAATTATTTGTTATTCACTTGTGGTTTTTGTTTTTGTAGGTCTATCCGATTTCAGTTGGAAGCATTCTTTGGATATGTGTTGTTTAGAGTTGCGAGTTTTGGGAGCACAATTGCGCTTCAAGAAGTGGCACTCGAAGGAATAATAAACTTCTGCAGACAGCCAACATTCATCATTGAAGTGTATACAAACTTTGATTGTGATCCATGTTGCCGGAATGTGTTTGAGGAAATTGGGAGGTTGCTTTGCAAACACTCATTTGCACTGAATGGCCACGTCACCAGTTTGCACATTCAAGCCTTTGAAGGCCTATTGATCATGATTCACAATATTGCAGATAACATTGACAAAGAAGGTTCAACAGCTTCTTTAGGTGCATACCCAATTCAATTGTCTGAGTATAGACCCTTTTGGGAGGAGATGGATAGAGAAGACGACGTGGAAGCTTGGGTGGAACATGTAAGGATGAGAAGACTTCAGAAAAAGAAACTACTCATTGCTGCAAACCATTTCAACAGAGATAATAAAAAGGGTCTTGAGTACTTGAAACATGCCAAGTTAATCTCTGATCCTCCTGACCCAAAGGCTCATGCTCATTTCTTTCGTTACACTCCCGGAATAGACAAGAAAACAATAGGAGAATTTCTTGGAGACCCTGACCCTTTCTACCTCCAAGTTCTCAAAGAATTCACAGATACCTTCCATTTCCAAGGCATGAATCTTGACACTGCCCTTAGATTTTATCTAGAGAGTTTCTTGCTGCCAGGAGAGTCACAAAAGATTCAACGTATACTTGAAGCATTTGCGGAGAGATTCTATGATCATCAATCCTCAGAGATGTTCGCAAGCAAGGACACTGTTCTCATCTTGTGCTACTCCCTCATCATGCTCAACACGGATCAGCACAACCCCCAAGTTAAGAAGAAGATGACAGAAGAGGAATTCATCAGGAACAATAGAGCAATCAATGCAGGACAGGATTTGCCTAGGGAGTACCTTTCTGAGCTTTTTCAATCCATTTCCACTTGTGCATTTTCCCTTTCTCAAAGCACAGTGTCACTAGACATGAGTCCAAGTAGGTGGATTCAGCTCATAAACCGTTCCAAAGTGGTACAACCTTTTATACAATGTGGCTATGATCGCAGAATATGTAGAGACATGTTTGCCTGCATTGCTGGTCCATCAGTGGCTGCTCTTTCATCATTCTTTGAGCATGCCGATGAAGAGGAGCTGCTCCATGAGTGCATTGAAGGGTTATTCTCAGTTGCAAGGATTTGTCAGTATGGACTAGAGGATACCCTTGATGAGCTTATAACATCCTTTTGCAAATTCACAACACTACTAAACCCTTATGCTTCTATAGAAGAGACCATGTTCTCCTTTAGTCATGATATGAAGCCAAGGATGGCAACAGTTGCTGTTTTCACCGTAGCAAACTACTTTAGGGACTCAATTCAAGGAGGTTGGAAGAACGTAGTAGATTGCTTGTTAAAACTCAAAAGGCTTAAACTATTACCCCAATCTGTCATTGATTTTGATGCATTAATGGATGCCCCAACAACACCTGAATCAGGTGTCATGTCTCCAAGTGATAATATTAATCATAAATTTGGCAGCCATAGAGTTTCTAGCATGATCTCTCGTTTTTCACTTCTTTCATCAGAGGGAATGGAAGATGGTTTGAGCCTTGGTAGTGAATTTGAACACAATACCAAAATGATCAAAATGTGCAAAATTGGTAGCATTTTCACCAACTGTTCAAACATCCCGAAAGAATGCTTACAAAGCCTTGGGAGGTCTTTGATATTTGCAGCTGCTGGAAAAGGCCAAAAGTTTAGCACACCAGTGGAGGAAGAGGAAACAGTTGAGTTCTGTTGGGATTTGATCACTGCAGTATCATTAGCTAACG